ATCCTGTTGGAGAAGTTTTTGATGTTCATAGGGATTTGATTACTAGAAGGTCCCATTCATCTGTTTTGTTCTCTTCTGGTTGTAGATATTCTAGATTTTTTTTTTTTTTCAATGTGGGGGTTTGGTGGTTTTGGTCGGGGTTTTTTTGTGATAAAATTTTTTAAATCAAGAAACTTTTTAAGGTGGAACCCTGCCGGAGAAGGAAAACTCAACTATTTTCTACTCAAATGAGTGCTAGTAATGTGCTGTCAGAATCTGTCACAGGTATAAACCTTGAGCGATTCGGACAAACCAGGGCATCTGGTGGGGTTCTGGCTGGCTGCAGCATGATGGGGCAGTCTGACTGCTTCCCTGTCCTTCTCTATCAGAAGAAGGTAGCTGGGCTTTTCTCTGACAGGGTTCTGCCTCTTCTCTATCCAGGGACTCATATTGTATCCAGTACTGTCTTTTCATTTCAGTGCCCAGAACTGTTCACCACTGGGAAACAACTAATTTTCTAACCCTGACCTTCTGTTCTTGCTGAAGGAGCTATGGTGGTACAGCAATTACTTAGATGCTAAGCTGTTCGCTGAAAATTGGTAGTGTTATCAGCTGTCGCATTCTGCTTCCTTAACGGTCACAGCCTTGGGAAGCCTGAGGACAGTTCTGCGCGGTTCTCTAGGTTCTGTGAGTCAGAAGCTACTTGATGGCAATGGGTTTGGTTTGTGTTTCAGTTTGGAGTTTTTGCTTATTTGCTTATCTTTGCTAAATTTACATGTTAGTTACAGTTGCTTTTTAATAGATGTTTTGGAATTTTCTAGGTAGAGAATCATGTCTCTAAGTAGACAAGGATTTTCCCCCCCTCTCCTCTTTTCTAACCTAGATGTCTTTCCTAGTTGTCTAGTGATGTCTAATGGAACCCAACAAATGGATGACTTCAACAAACATAAATTTATTCCCTCACAGTGTAGGAAGCTAGCAGTCTGAATTCAGAGTGTCAGCTCTAAGGGAAAGCATTCTCTCTATTGGCTCTGGATGGAAGTCCTTGTCCCTGTCACCATTTGTGGGGCTGGCATGCCATAGAGATGTGTCCATGTGTCCAGACATCAGTCTTTGCCTAGGAGGTCTACTTAGCCTGTGGACTCCAGGTCCAAAGGAGACACTCTGCTCCTCACTCTTCTTTCTTGGTGGGAGGCCAGTGTAGAACATACCTGTGGGGCCATTCCACTGTGTAACGCGTGAGTTTGCCAGGAGTGACTACTGATTGATAATAAGGCTTGGTTTGAATTTTTTATATGTTTGCCTGAAAGTAACAGCAGAAAGTAACCACCAAGACTTTAGGGCAGGTTTACAAGTGGAAAGATTGTAAAGTGGAAAGAGCCTATGACTCTGACCAGAAGCTCCATTCAAGGAAGTAGATATATGGAGAGCCAAATATCAAACTAAGTATTAATGTAAGTGATAAACCAAATGCTGTATCAGGATTTGAGGGAGGTGCAAATACAAGTTGCAGTTCCTCCTGAGACAGGTCACAGGGGTCAAATGCCAATGCAGACGTTAAGGTGTTTTCACAGTTCTTGGATTGTATTTGCAAACCTGTCCCTCCTGAGTCAAGCATAGGGTTGTCAATAGAAAGAGCCTAGCTTCATTTGCACAGAATTCTCTTTGTGTTTTGCTCATTGGCAATTCTCACAGGGAATCTAGGTTCGGGGCTTCAGTCTTCAAGCTCTTCACCCCCTGCCTTTACGCTCTCTGTTCTTTTCTAGTCTTGGTGTCCCCACCTCACTATTTTTCTCAGTCCAGAGGACAACATTTTGGAGTCCAAACAGGGACCCAAAGAGGCGGCAGCAGGGGCCCACCTCCCGGGTCCCTAACTGCAGGCATGATGTGGGCGAGTCCTCTTACTGTGTTTGGTTTGCCTGCTAACTGGTATGGCAGAGTCTCTTCTCCCCCCACACCCCCTGGGTGCCCCCCCCCCCCGTGCGTGTAGTGGTTGGGTGGTAGGTTTGGTGGCCTGGCCTTGGGGATGACCCACCCTTGGTAAGAAAGGCCTTCTCTAGCGATCCATGAAGGGGTTTTGGGGTTCTGTAACCCCCAGTTTCTGCCTCTTCCCCTGCACCGCCATTCTTCCCTTGCCCTCTGCGAGAGTCAGGTGAGGAGGGGAGGGCTCAGGGAGCCACAGAAGCTCACATCTTTCTTCCCTGACCTACATTGTTCCAACTTGCCAGAGGCTCTTCACCTTGGAAACCTGCTGCGCATATGGGTTTGGCCTGGTGGGAGATTTTCACCCTCTCCCCCCAGATGACAACATGGATCCAAGCGTTCATGCAAAGAAACCCTTTTCTTTAAGCCAGATCTCAAGAACCCTCAGCCCTAAGCTGAGAATAGGAAAGATTGTACACATCAACTTTGATTAGCCATAATTGAAGCAGTGAGGCCTTTCCCAAGATAGAATGGTGTCTTGTTCTCTGATTCTTTGTGTTCCTGTAACAGGTTCCAGCCACAGATGCTTTAAAAACTGTTGGGAGAATGCCAGAAGGTGGAAGGACCAGCCAGCTCCAGAAAAACAGAAGCCCCTTGGGTGTGTAAGGATTGAGGGAGGGTGTGAAATAGTTTATGATGGTATTTTTCTGTTGTCTTTATTCATTGTCAGCTCAAATGCAAATCAGATTTGATTGAAAAGACCATGGCCTGCATCAGGTACACGTTACTCTTTTAAACTGGCATCTTTGCTCCTCAGTACCTTGGAGAGGTCCTTGGCAGCACACCCCCCCAATGCAGTACATCTCCTGATCTCAATTGCTGGTACCAAGGGTGTTGATTGTGAATCCAAGTTATAAAAAATTGTTGACAGTGTCAATCTTTTCTCCTGGTCTGTAATGATGTTACCTGTTGGCCCAGTGATAAGAATTTTCATGGTCTTGATATTGAGATGTAAGTGATAAAGCTGTATGTAGTCTTTTATCTTCTACAGCAAGCACTTCAAGTTGTCCTCACTTTTCAGCAAGCAAGGTTATATCATCTGCATAACCAGGTTATTGATGAGCCTTTCTCCAATCCTGATGACACACTCTTCTTCATAAAGTTCACCTTCTAAAATGCTTTGCACAGCATACAAATGTAATAGATATGGAGAAAGAATACAGCCTGATGCTCACTAGTTTTGATTTAAAACCATGCAGTGTTCCCCTGTTCTGTTCACACAACAGCTTCTTAGACCTAGACAACAGATCTGGGTCTAGGGTTTGCACTAGCACAAGTAAGTGTTCTGGGATTCTTATTCTCAATGTTAGCCACAGTTTGTTTGTTTGTTTGTTTGTTTGTTTGTTTGTTTGTTTGTTTGTTTGTTTTAAATTCATTTTAATTAACGTTTACAGAGATTTTGGATTTCCATACATTCACTGTTGCATTTTTCTCCCTGCCCAGCCCTCCCCCAGTACACTCTACTCTTTGAAAAGTAAAAGAAAAATTATTTCATTGGTATAGAATCCTCCCCTCACCCCCCACCCCTAGTACACTCTACTATGCAACCTTCATTCTGGACTCTTGTCATAACCATAGTACCCAATCATATATCGCTTTCAAATAGTTCTCTCCCTCATCTGTTTCAATGCATATACATAATTTATCCAGTTTTTCTCAGTCTCACTCCAACTGTGATGTCAGTCCCGTTCTATGATAGTGGCACCAAGCAATATTTGTCCTTTTGTGACTGAGATACTTCACTCACCATAATGACCTCCAAGGTCACCCATTTTGAATAATATTGCATAAGTTCCTTGTTTTTCAATGCAGTGTAGTGTTCCATTGTGTGAATATACCAGAGTTAGCCATAGTTTATTATGATCCATGTAGCCAAATGCTTTTGCATAGTCATTAATTAGTTCACAGATAGATATTCTTCTGATACTCTCTGCTTTCAACCAAGATCCAGCTGACATCAGCAATGATATCCCTGGTGCCACAGACTCTTTCAAACCCCACTGCCTTTTTTGGCAGTTCTCCCTAAATGTACTTTTCTAACCATTTTTAAATGATCTTTAGCAATATTTTGCTTGCACGTGATACTGATATCAGTGAAACTGTTTTATAATTTCCACATTTTGAGCACGTCCAGGGATGTATCTGTTAGTTGAAATACATCAGTTGATATCCTGTTGATTCCTTGGGCCCAATTTTTTGTCTAAATTTTACACCTTTAGTGTAGCTTGAACTTCTGGCTTTGTGACCATTGGCTCTTGTTCATCGCTTACCTCCTGAAATAATTCAATGTCAGTTCAACCATTTCTTTTTGTTATAGTGATTCTGTATTCCCTTCATATTTTTTGATGCTTCATGGATTAGTCAAGATTTTGCCTACATTATCTCTCAGTATTGCAGCTCGAGGCATGAATTTCTTTTTTGCAGTTCTTTGAGCTTGAGAAATGCCGAACAAATACTTTTCTTATTTTCCCCCTCCAGCTCTTTGCACATTGTTGTTGTTGTTGTTATGTGCCATCGAGTTGCTTGCAACTCATAGAGACCCTATGTGCAAGAGCCCTAAACGCCGTTCTATCCTGTGCCAACCTCGCTGTCTCAAACACACTCATTCCCACCACTCCAGTCACAGAATCGATCCATCTCATCAAGGGTCTTCCTCTCCTGTGCCGTCCCTCCATTCTCCCAAACATGATGTCCCTCTCCAAGGACTAGTCTCTCCTTACAGCATGCCCAAAGTATGTCAGATGAAGCTTCAGAATCCTTGACTCCAAGGAGCATCCCAGTTTAACCCTATCCAGGATAAATCAGTTTGTTTTCCATGGTATATTCAACACTCTTCTCCAGCACCACAGCTCAAAGGCATCAATTGTCTTTCTATCATCCCTAGTCACTATCCAACTCTCTGATGCATAGTACATAATTGCAAAGACTATAGCCTGGTTCAGGCACACCTTAGTCTTCAGCCTGACGTCATTGCTCTTTAGTACTCTTGAGAGGTCCCTCACAGCTGACTTTCCCAATGCAATTTGTCTTCTGATTTCCTGGCTGCTGTTACCAAGAGTGTTGACTGTGGAACCAAGTAAATTAAAACCGTTAACTATCTCAATCTCTTCACCATCCATACTGATGCTACCAATTGGCCCAGTGGTGAGAATCTTTGTTTTCTTGATATTGAGCTTCAATCCATATTGAAGATTGCAGTCCTTGACCTTCTGCAGCAAGCGCTTCATGTCCTCTTCAGTTTCATAACACATATTGTTGATGATTCTTCCACCCATCCTGATGCCACACTCCTTGTACAGCCCAGCGTCTCGGATGATCTGTTCTATATACAGATGAAAAGGTATGAAGACAAAATACATCCCTAATGGACCCCTTTCTTGATTCCATAATAATAACTATCCTTTGTCTTCTCAAGCTGCCCTTTGAAACCTTCTTCTCGTCTCTTTTACTTCAGCATCTCTTCGCTTTGTTTTAGCCTCTTAACACTCTAGTGCAGTTTTCAGAGTCTCTTCTGACATCCATTTGGTCTTCTCTTTCTCCTCTTTGTAATGCCCTTTTGCTCTCTTTATGAATGCTATCCTTGAGGTCATCTCACAACTCCTCTGGTCTTCAACCATTAGTGTTAATGCCTCAAACCTCTTCTTGAGAGGATTTTTAAATTCAGGTGGGGTAGATGCAAGTTTGTATTTTGGTTTTTGTGGACTTGTTTTAATTTTCTTCAGCTTCACTTTGAGCTTGTCCATATGTAATTGATGTTCTATTCCAGAGTTAGCCCCTGCCCTGGTTTTACTGCTGATACTGATTGAGCTTCTCCAAGTCAGAGTTCAGGGTGCTGGCCGTAGGACAAGGCTTGCTTTTTCTGCCGGGGCTGGAGGAGGTTCCTTGCCTCTCCCCTCTCTGCTTCCTTGCTCCTAGGAGGGCTCCATGTGTCCTGGCATCTGCTTTCCTCATCTTTGTCTGCTTGCCTGTTAATCTCCTTCTAGATCTCAAAAGAAATTGGTTCAAGGCGAGCTCTGGTGGCCTAGTGGCAAGAAGCTGCACTATAATCCCAGAGGTGCGTGGTTCGAACCCACCAGATGCTCTGCTGGAGAAGGAGGAGCACTCTCCTCCTGTACCAGTCAGATGCAGTTTGATGGTACACACACACACACAAATAAAAAAATAAAATTTTTTTAAAAAAGAGATTGGTTTACTAATCAGACCTCGTCCATAAATTCAGCCCATTCCCATGTGAGATGGAACCACAGGCATCCCACTGCCTAACCCACTCACTTGTGACTATCACATTTTCAAAGGTGTAGATCTTAACCAGGAGCAGAATACTGTGTTTTCTTCTGTGGGGTGACTGGTAGATTTGAACAACCAACCTCTCACTTAATAACCCACCATGTAACTCAATGTATGCCACTCGGAGGTTAGGATTTATAGCATCTGATTTGGGAAACAGTCCACAATAGTGATAAACATGGAGGTCAGTTTTGTCTTCAAGTTCTTCAAGTTGAAATTCTGTCCTTCCATTTTGGGGAGGATCCGGTGAGGGAGTGACCCTACCCAAGGGGCAGCAGTGCCATGGTTAAGTTAAGAGGCCGTAATTGAAAGGATGTCACGATGGTTCCGATTGACTCCTTGTTGGAGTCCCGTCGTGGGGCTGCGGGAACACTGGACTCTTCCCGGAGCTGCCGTGCACGTGCTGGTTAGCCGTCTCACCATTGCAGAGAAATGTGGCACCGAGTCACCCACCACCTTGCCTGGAAGTGGCTGCTCTCAACAAATTACCATTCATTCCAAAGTTTGAAAAATGTAACGTGCGTGTACCTCACCAGACTTCATACCCGGGGGCTGCTGGAGCCGAATTCCATGAGTGTGTGGCTTCAGAGAACAGACAGATTTTACTTCTCACAGTTCTGAGGGCCTGAGCTCCAGCTGTTGGCAGGGCCATGGCCCTCCCGTAGACTCAAGGCAGAGCAGACAGAGATTTAACTTCCTATAGTTCTAGGGCCCAAACTCCAGGTTGTTGGAAGGGCTCGTGGCCCTACTGTAGACTCAAGGGGGAGCGGACAGAGATTTACCTTCTCATAGTTCTAGGCCCCTGGGTGTTGGCAGGGCCGAGGCCCTCCCATAAACTCGAGAGGGAGAGTCATCCTGATTTTTCTGTTTTCATATCCCGGGTCTTCTGTCAGCAGCCCTTCACATCTGTCTTCCCACTGTGCGTGACCCTATTCCCTGCCTGACTTTCTGTTTTATGATGCACCTCAGAAAGGTCGAATCCGTGGTACCCTGGTACAACCTCACTGATTTAAGGGAAAAAAATCACAAAATTCTGTTTCTCCAAAGTCACACTCACAGGTCCAGCTATGAGAGCTGCAGCAAACCTTGTTTAGGGACGCAGTGCAGCCTGTGTTGTTTGGTCTGTCGGGTCGGCCCTGACTACGGGGGGCCCCATGTAAACAGAACACGGCCCTGCCAGGCCTGCACCCTCCTCACAGTCACTGCTGTGCGCAAGCCCGGTGTTGTAGTCACTGTGCCCGCCTGTCTCCTCCAGGGTCCTCCTTCCTTTCAGTGACCCCCTCCCATCTAAAGCGGATGCTCTTCTCCAGGGACGGGCTCCTCCCGATAATGTGCTCAGGTGAGACTAGCCTGGCCATCCTTACTTCCTAGGAGCATGCTGGCTGTATTTCTTCAGAGGCACTTATTTGTTCTTTTAGGATATTCCAGACTCATCTTCAGCACCACTTTAAATCATGATCAGAAGCATTAGTTTTCCTTCAATCGTTCTGATTCATTGTCCAATATTCACATGAAGATTGAAATTGAAAATACTGGGGAGCTTTAGTGGCCTAGTGGTAAGAAGCTGTACTGACGGCCCAGAGACACACAGTTTGAATCCACCAGCTGCTCTGCGGGAGGATGGGCAGTCTTCTGTGTGTTTACCGCCTCTGGAAACCTACTGGAGGGTCAGCCGAGCATCGGTTCCAGCTCAGCAGCACACAAAACGGTGGCTTGGGTCAGGCACACCTTAGTCTTGAAATTTACATCCCTGCTTTTTAATACATGCTTTCAAGAGATCCTTGACAGCCCATTAACCCAGTTAATTAACTCTCTTAACTCAAATATAGAGTTAATTAACCCAATTAATTTGACTGCTTGATGTTGATTTTGGAGCCAAGTGAAATGGAATACTTGACATCTTCAGTATTGACTTTGTTTATCATGATGTTCACTGGTCCACTTCTGAGGATTTTTATTTACGTTGAGGTATAATGTAATCCATAGAAGACCATCGTTTTTTTTTTTCCAGTCCCTAATACTTGGAAGCAGGAGTGGCATCCACTTCCTAAACAACATGCTTCTGGAAACTCTATGAACTTTGATAAATGTTGATAGTTAAAGAGGAGCTTCAGGCCTTTTGTTCATAGGGTCGCTGTAAGTCATGCTAGGCAATCAGCAACAACATTACTAGCAACAAGTTGAATTCTTGGAAAGAAGTGAGAGAGTGAGTGTGTGTGTTTGAAAATCGTTGGACATTCCTCAAACCTTCAGGAGGAAACTCAGAGTAACGAGAGGGTCCTGCTGGCGTTTGTGTGTGTGCAGAGCGTGGCACAGGGAGACAGAGTAGTCTGTTGTGGTTGACGGACACGTGGGGAGGACTAGCAACTTTTTTCACAACACTAAAAGCCAGAAGAAAACAGTGCTCCTCGGCTATCTGTGAAGTCTGTTGTGACCTGGCTGTGCTGGCTCATGGGAGCCCTTGCTTGCTCCATCCACAGAACTGAGTGTGCTGGCCAAGGGCGACCTGCAGTCCACCTTACTGGAAGGGCACGGGGCGGCCCCACCGGACCTGGATCTCTCTGCCATCAATGGTAAGTCAGAGCCTTGCCCTTCCTCTTCCAAGCTGGGCCCTGGGACGAAGCTCCCACTGCTCATAGAGTCTGTTCTTCTTGCTGTTGAAACGCTTTCGTTTGCCTCAGATAAAAGTGTGGTGAAAAAGACTCCACAGTTAGAAAGAACAATGGGACAAAGGAATGATTCAAACTCATTTTCTTCTGCACGGAAAAAGAGCCAAGTAAGTGCCTGGAATGAAACAGTGGTTTCCTTTGGTTCAGTGGTGGAAGTCTTGCCTCCCGTGTGGGAGAACTGGGTTCAATTCCCAGCTGGTACACCACGTGTACAACCCCTCAGCACCTGTTCCTGGAGGCTTTTGTGTTGCTGAACAAGTTTTAGCAGAGCTTCAAGTTTAAGACAGGGCAGGAAGATAGGCCTGGCCGTGGAATGCTGAAAATGCTTGGGGTCCCACCAGGCTATCTTTAACTGACCAGGGAGCTGAATCAAACCAAGCAGGGTTTTGTTCCATTGTGCATGTGGTCTCCGTGGGCTGAAGGAAGCTAAAAAGTGTCTGAATAAAGGGAAGTTGCTCATTAGCTGGCTACCTCTGATTGCTCCCTGCCTTCCGAGACTCTGGATCTGCGAGGACATGTGCGATGGCCAGTCCTTTTAGGGCAGCAGAGCACAGTGCTCCCAGGTCAGTCTTGACGTGTACATTCTCCCGAGCACCGCACAATAGTAGATGCAGAACAGAGCCTGTTGTTGATGGCCCTGTGCTGCGGAGTAGAACCGCCCTGCAGCCTTTTCTTGGTTGTAATCTTTACAGAAGCAGGTTGCCAGGCCTTTCTTCCACAGTATCACTGGTTTTGACTACCAGCCTGTAGCTGAGTGTAAGCCATCTGCACCACCCAGAGGGCTTTAGAGTCAAGCCCAGAATTGAGGAAGTTGAGGCTTTGCATAGGCCCGTCTCGTCCCAAGTGAGGTGCCGGGCTGGCCCCTGTGCCCAGCAGGTCAGCTTTGCTGTCACTGGGGTGAGCGGCGCTGGCCCTGGGAGGGCAGGGCTGTGGTGGCTTCAGCACCAGTTTGCTGGTGCTGCCAGCTGGCCCCTGCCACCTCTTCACCTGCCTGATGCAGAGGGAAAGCCAAGCCACTCCTCTGAGAAGACATCAGAAAAGACTGAGGATGTAGGGGCCGTGGGCAGTGGGGAATGACTGAGTCTGAATTGAGGAAAGTGGGTGCAGGTCAGAGGGCTGACTGGGGAGCAGAGTAAAGCTAGATTCACACCAACTCACTGAGGACTGAGAGTCTCTGTTTTCAAGGATTTATCCGAATCTATGGACATGATGGAGTCACAGACTTTGCTCTTCACACTGCTGACCATCAAGGTGGGAGTGGCGGCGTGTGTGGGTGGGGCTGGGGAGGAGACGGGACAGCTGGCAGCCACGTCCCCTTACCCAGGCACTGGCCATGCGTTTCACAGATGGAGAAGAGCCTCGCCTTGCTGGAGGAGAAGGCAGAAAGCAAACTGTTGGCCATGTGCCGAGAGCAGGAGACGCTCCAGAAGAAGGTGCAAGAGCTTCGGCGCAGACGGCTGCTCGGGCAGAGGACGAAGGAGCTGCTGGGCTTGGTGGACGTGCAGGTCAGTGTGGGCAGCGCCAGTGGGAAGCCTGGCTATGCTGTCTCCCAGGGTGGGCACTTGGTGAGGATGCTGTTCGAGGAGGGTGCCTTCCACGTTCCCTGTCCTGTGCTGGTCCTGATGTTACTTATGTGTCTTAGGGGGTCTAGAGAAGCCAGAATCAGTGAGAGGCAGATGGACGGTAGGCAGGTGGATAGGTGATTGACATGTGTAGTGGGTGATAGATGATAGGTGTGTGGATTATTGCTCCATGTGGTAGCTGTAGATAAACATGTGGATACGTAGATGTTGAGTCTCTGGGTGGTGCGCAGAGTTAAGTGCTCAGCATATACCTGGGAGCCTCCCCTCACCAACCAGTGCAAGAGCCTCACAGCCCCCACCTGTGTCCAGCTTCTCCTGTATTTGAACTAGTTGCCAGCAGGGCAGCTCATGGCAACTTCTTGTGTAACAGAATAGAACTACTCCGTAGGGTTTTCGGTGGCTGATTTTTCAGGTACAAATTGCCAGGCCTTTCTTCCAAGGCACTTCTGAGCAGGCTCAAACCTCCAGCCTTTTAGCAGCTAAGCATTTTCACCTTTGGCCCTGCCTAGGGTCTTCATCAAAGACAAGGTTTCAAATTCCCATGAGTGACAGGACAGCTTGCCTGTGGGAAGGGAAATTGGGACCCCGTAACAGGCAGTCATTTAAACTGCTGCTTTTAATACAAGAGGGACCAGCTGGGCACACAGCTGGGCCAGTGTCCCACTTCGAGAACATGCTAGACCTCAGCTGCGTCTTCAGAGTAAGCAGGTCTCAGCCACCATAATGCTGGCTGGTGTCTCAGGTGAGTGGAAGGGAGAGAGGGAAGGGCCAGCTGGGGCACAGACCCCTGAGGATGGGGCAGAGTCGTCATTGGTGCTGGGGGCCTCACTGCCTCAGCCCCCCTCTCCTGCTGCAGGCTGAGCTGCTCAGTCCCTTCGTGGCGGTGGCTGAACGCTTCAAGGAGCAGTACAAGACCTTCGCGACAGCCCTGGACTCCACTCGGCACGAGCTGCCCGTCACAGCCATCCACATGGAGGGCAGCAGCCAGCAATTCCTGGGTAAGAGATGGCCCCCAGGCCCACGCTTGTCACTGTGGCCAAACTAAATGATCGTGGGAAGCCCGCTCTATTTGAGTTATAACCCACCGAATTTCACCACTTTCTGGGGTTTTTTAACAGTGTTCAGGCTGTTCGTTCATAGGGTCGCTATGAGTTGTCTACAACTTGACGGCATTAAACAACAAACAACAACAATTGTTAGTAATACATACGGCATGCAAGTGGTTTTGCCATAACATCAATTAATGTTAATTAATATAATTTATAGTTTACGTAATTTGCTGATTATTTTGAGATATTCATTCATAGGTGTTCAGTATTATAAAGAAATATAATAGAAAGGCCTAATAAAAATTTAAAGAAAACTGAGGTCTTTAACTTATGTCAGAATTAACTTCTGATGGAGCCATTGGAAGGAAACCCCTTTGTAGGTTCAGGGTGACCAGTTTACAAAGCACCTACCATTTCACATGTACAATTCAGGGTTGGTAATTGTTGAATTAACCATTTTTCATTTCCAGGTTTTTCTGTGTCCCTTAAGACCTTCCCCTTCCCTGACCCCGAGTTACCCCTAATCATGAAGACAAATGGTCCATAAGGTTTTCTGGGCTGTAATGTTATGGGCGTAGTTCACGTGCCTTTCTTCCTTGGTGACCTTGGCTGGATTCAAACTTCTGACCTTTCTCACAGGTAGCTGAATGTGAACTGGTTGCACCGCCCAGGAACCTTACACTTGCCTATTCTAGATTGTTCGTGGAAGTGGGATCATAATATTTTGTGTGTGTATCTGTGTGTGGCATCTCCAGCTCAGTATCCGAGGTGCTTCCACGCTGTAGCACATGCTGGGCAGGACTTCGTTCCTTCTCCTGACTGAGTATCGTCCACTGTGTGGACAGAGCACACGGTATTTCTCCATTTTCTGTTGACTTGGGCTGTATCAGCCTTTTACCTCTTGTGGACCGTGTTACTGTGAACACTGATGAACAAGTCTGTTAAAGTCCCTACTTTTGGGTCCTTTGGGGCCCCTCCAAGGAGCAGAATGGCCGAGCCGGGTAGTGTAGTGTGTGGGAGCCCGGGTGGCCTGTAGGTAAGAAGCTGCACAGCAGTCAATCCCAAAGGCACAGTTTGAATCCATTGTTTGCCCCACGGGAATAGGACAGACAGTCTCCTCCCTTGCAATTTATTGCCTCTGAAAACCCACAGCTATTGGTCAGTTCCGAATCAACAGCAAACAAGTATAATGTGTAATGAAAAGGTCAGTGGTTTGCAGTTGGCAGCTGCCCCACGGAGAAAGATGGGCCTCTCCTGTAAATATTCACGGCTCAGAAACCAATGCGGACCCCAAACCCGGGGGGGGGAGGGGGTAGATGGTGACTCTGACTTACTGACAGACCTCTGCGTGTCAGGGTTTCCTGTGTGTGACAGGCAACACATCTGTCACCATGCTGTTGGCATGAATGAACTCAGGTCTGAATAGGGCAGATGCTGGGCACGCCAAGGCTATGGTCTGTCCAGGGTCATGTCCTGAGTGAGTGGTAGTGTTAGGGGTGAACCTTGAGTGTGTGGGGCTGCCCCTGGTGTCTCACTTGTGACCTTCAGCTGTGAAGATGCTCTGGCCATCTACCATCCACCGTGAGCAGGCCTTGAGCGGGTCCCTCCATGGTCAGTGGAGGTGAAAGACTGTTGATGTCATTGGCAGCCTCGATGTAAACAGCTTTTTTTTTATTATTAATTTCAGTGAAAATTTACAGAGACTTTGGATTTCCATTCATTCATTGTTGCAATTTTCTCCCCTCCCAACTCCCCCCTAGTACACGCCCCTCTTGGAAAAATAAAAGAAAAATTCTTTCATTGTTTTACAATCCCTCCCCCCAGGTCCACTCCACTATGCAGCCTTCACTCTGGACTCCCATCATGACAAAAATACCTAATCACATACTCCTTTTAAACAGTTTTCTCCCTCATCTGTTTCAGTGCAGTGTACATTATTGAACCCATCTTTCTCAGTCTCCCCCCAACCCTGATGTCAGTCCTGTTTTACAACAGTGGCACTATGCAGTATTTGTCCTTTTGTGACTAGATACTTCACTCAGCATAATGTCCTCCAGGGTCACCCATTTTGAATAGTATTGCATGAGTTCCTTGTTTTTCAGTGCTGTGTAGTATTCCATTGTGTGAATATACCACAGCTTCTCTATCCATTCATTTGTTGATGGGCACTTAGGTTGTTTCCAACTCCTTGCTATTGTGAACAAAGCCGTGATAAAAATGGGTGTGCATACATCTGCTTGGATGTCAGTTATGGTCTCTTTGGGGTATATTTCTAGTAGTGGAATTGCTGGGTCAAATGGTATTTCTATTTGCAGCTTTTTGAGAAAGCGCCATACCGCCTTCCACAGTGGCTGCACCATTTTACACTCCCACTAACAGCAAATAAGGGTTTCAGTTTCTCCACAACCTCACCAGCATTTGTTGCTTGCTGTTCTGTTAAATTTTGCTATTGTGACTGGGGTGAGATGATAATCTCATAGTTTTGCAAACAGCTTCTAACAGCTTCAGTGTTCCTCGTGTAACACTGCACACAATGTTAGGTGCTGTGAAGTCAGTGTGGTCTATGTTGACCTGGGGTGGGGAGTGGAGCTGTGTCCCTGTTAGGCTGTGGCCTTTCAGGAGCCGGCCACAGAACAAACCAGTTGCCATGGAGTCAGCTTCCAATGGCTACTGTGGTGCCCCCTCGTTGGTGTCAGGGGAGAACTGTGCTCCCCAGATTTCTGGGACCGAGTCTCAGAAGCAGATGTCCAGGCCTTTGTTCCCAGGCACCTCTGGGAGGGTTCACACAGGCAGCCAACTTCATTGAATACTTAACCTTTACACCAGTCAGGGCTCTCAGGCTCCCACGTTTCTCTTGACCCCTCATGCCAGGTGCTGGGGGTGAAGGAAGAAGCTCCTGAACTGGGAGCAGGTGGGTACACAAGGAAGTTGAGGTGCCTCTGCCCAGGGTGCTGGATGCCAGAAATGGGGTGTAAACAGGGGACTTGTTTGTTAGTTGTATGTGATTGGACAGAGAGGGCCCTGGGCAGACACCACGGTCACACCCCCGGCATTCTGTGTGGTCATCCTGATGGCCCTTGGGTAGGGGCACACTTGTCCCATGAGCTTAGCCACCTCCTCTCAGACAAGGGACGCCCATGGTGCTCATGTGAGAGTTTCTTCTCTCCATATGCCAGCAGTCCTGAGAAGCACCGATGACAGCCTTAGGCCTTGCCCTGCCCGGTGCCCCAGAACCCACTGCTCACAGTCCTCTCCTCCCCTAGATGACCTGCAGAAGGAGCTGGCTACCACACCCTTCCTGCTGGGTGACCTTGGGGCCATCCCCTTGGAGGAGAGTGTGAAAGCGCTGGACTTCCTGAGTGAACTCAAAGAGGTGATCTCAAAGAAGGACTCGGAGCTCCAGAGGTATGATCTTTCTGTAAGCCTTGCTGGGCTGGGCTCTAGGGTGAGTCCCCTCCAGATGGACAAGCCGCTCTCCTCCAGACACCTGAGGCCAGAGCAGGACCAACCAGTGTGCTGATAGTGGTGGTTGGTACAGGGGCTTCCAGATGTACATGGCCCGGGATCTCCCTGTTGAACCAGTGCCTTTTCCTGTTCTCAGGGAACACACCCACACACACCCTGCACTGGGTCTCTCTCTACACACACACACCCTGCACTGGGTCTCTACAACACGCGCGGGCGGGTATACACACTGCACTGGGTCTTACACACACACACACACACACACACCCTTGCACTGGGTCTGTACACTCGCGCACGCGTGCATGCACACCGCACTGGATCTCTACACATACCGCCTGCACCGACTGGGTCTCTACACACACACACACCCCCCTTCACGGGTCTACACACACACACTGTGCAATGGGTAACTAGATGGTGGTGTTTGCTGTCAGGTTGGCACCATCTCAGCCATCTTAGCAATAACAGATTGAAGTGCCCGCCCAGCTCTTCCTTCGTGATGATCACTGGAGTGGGCTCCACTCCCCGCTGCAGCCTCTATCATGTCAGTCCATCTCCTCAAGGATCGCCCTCTACTTTACCAAACATGAGGAGCAGTTGGTCTTCTAAAATGCTAAAGAGCCATGATGTCAGAATGATGACTAAGGTGTGCCTGATCAAGGCCCTGGTCTTCTCAGTCACTTCTATGCATCAGAGCTAGAGCTGGACAATAAATAAGGATGACAGAAGAATTAATGATGCCTTTGAGCTGTAATGTTCGAGCAGAGTGTTGAACATCCCACGGACTGGCCAAAGAACAGATAGATTTGGCTTGGAAGGGTGCAGCCGGAGTGCTCCTTGGAAGCAAAGATGGCGAAGCTTCGTCTTTTATACTTTGGACATGTAACGAGGTGAGGCTGTTCCTTGGAAATGGACATCATGTTTGTAAAGATGGAGGGTCAGTGAAGGAGAGAAAGACCCCCAATGAGATGGATTGACAAGGTGAGTGCAGCAGTGGGCTCTCATGTGTCAGAGATTGTGAGGATGGCACACGATGGACCTGATATTCATAAGGTCACTTTGAGTCGTACTTGACTCGATGGCACCTAACAACAGTGAGTGTCCAAAGTAAGCGAGTCCAATTCTGTGATCCTGGCTTAAAGGATTTCTGGCTCTCTTTGTCCAAAACGGATGTGTTCATTCTTCTGTTACTCTTTGCTGACACCACAGTTTGAGCACATCCGTGGTTCATTCTTTTCACTGCCCAGCTTTCATATGCATGTGAGGTGACTTGACTACTTGGTGGGGATGAATCCTCCCCCCGTCGGGGCACCCCTTCTTGTGGCAGAGGGACTGTGGTGGCACTGAGCTCTTGAAATGCAGGTGTTGGTGCTCACTGGTCCTGTTATGTCCACAGGAGTTTCACCCAGGTGCTGGACCTTTCCGCTGAAGTAAGCAAGGAGGCAGCCTTAATTAACCAGGACGTCTGGGAAGGGGTCCAGGGCTTAGAGGCCCTGAGACTGTGGTACTTCCACCGCGATGGTGACAGCAGGGACCTCTGTGGCAGAGACCCTCAGAGCAGGCTCTTCCTGGTCAGCAAGGAGCCGTGTGCACCGTGACTCCCTGCTCACAGGGCTGGCTCAGGGATGGTGGGAAGAAACCATCCTCTCCGCTCACCCGGGAGAGTTGTGAAGCTGTCCGGGAAACTCTGAGCACTTTATCCACTCTTCACAGCTGCTTTTGTATCACTGTTTTGTATTTAAATAAAACTTTTTGCCATTGCAGTATTGATCTTCCTCCATACAGGGGACAGATAGCGGTGCAGGCTGTCTGACAATCTGCCCTGGGGGCCCTGAACCTCGGTTTACAGACAAGAGGGGGCACCTGTGCCCCATAGTGAGTTTATGCTTAGAAACACCTCGTGTGATGTGAAGGAGGCAGAAGGCCTCCCACAGACTGACAGGGTAAGTCATCTGCTTGTCCATTTCCACTCCCACGAGAAATACTAGCAGCTGGAGTGTGTTTGTGTGTGTGTGTGTGTATGTGTGTGAGAGAGAGAAAGAATGAACCTTACCCAAAGAATGTTCTGACTTTTGCCCCTGGCTCTTCGGAATGTCCTGTCTGAAGTTCATACCCATTCACCCCTATGAGCATGGCCTGTGAATTCGCTGTGGCCACTGCAGTGAGTTCTCTAACCCAGCAGGTGGTGGAGAGTGTGGTGGGGCGGACAGCTGGTGTCAGGGTTAGTACAAAGGTTGGGGACTGAGATGAGTCGACCTCCACCTCCTGGGAAGCCTGGTCATCTGGATTCTCGCTCTTAAAGCCTCTCCATTTCCACTGCTAACTTTACAGCTGGCTGAGCACAGGGACTCCAGCGGCTCAGTAGGTGAAGGATTACTGACTAAAAGGTCAGCAGCTGTAGCTCTGTGGTGTTAGCCGTAGGGAGTTGAACTGCTGACCCAAAGGCCATGGCTTTCTAGCAGTTTGAACCCCACAGTGACTCACAGGATTAAGGGGAGAGCGATCTCCCATGTGATTTACAGCCTCGGAAACCCAGGGAAGGGCAGCTGGGGCTGATTCTGACCTGATGGCTATGAATTTTGAGCTGTTCTTCAGGAGGATTAGGTAAAATCTGCTCTCATAAAGATTGGGAACCCTCTGGGGCAATTCTCTACCCTGTAGGAGTCAGCTTGATGGCCCTCCCATCCCCTGTCCATGAGAACCGAGGCTCCTCATCAGGGCCACCTGGGCTGGGTCGGGTTGAGTCCATCCTGTGGCAGTCAGCAGCTCCTTGGTCTCCCCCGTCTTCGTACACCTGCCAACACCCCCCTGTCCCGTCCTGCACTAGGAGTGGAGTGTTTGCACTTGAGAAGCAGCCTCGAGTGAGGAGTGCCCTCTCAACTGAAGCACTGGGGGACTGCACACTGCAGGCTTTCACCTTTTGTTTATGCATACGTGTACACACACACGGACTCAAAACCTACTGCCTTCCAAGGAGTGTGACTCCTGGAACCCTCTGTTGGGTTTCCAGGGCTGTTAAGGGAAGCAGATTGCCTCATCCATCTCCTGTGGAGCAGCTGGTAGATTTGAACAGCCGACCTCTCAGCAGCCCAACATGTAACGTATTACACACCACAGCCCCATACACATACCCTATGCATGCCAAAAGCATGTGATCATGCACACACTGGTGGACAGGTGTGTACAGACAAGCACATGCTCTATATTCATGCACAAGGACACACAAACACACTTGCAGATGGACATACATAAGCGCTCTAGCACAGCTTCTCTGCATTTCAGTGTCTCTTAAGTAGAGACATTACACAAGGTGGCCCTCACCATAGCGACTTACTTCCGATTAAAATTTCAACGCTGCTATGCATGCCTGTGTTTATCGTGGCTTTGTTCACAATAGCAAGGAGTTGGAGACAATCTAAGTGCCCATCAATAAATGAATGGATAGAGAAAATGTGGTGTATTCACACAGGGGAATACTATACAGCATTGAAAAACAAGGAACTCATGCAATAGTATTCAAAATGGGTGACCCTGGAGGACATTATGCTGAGTTAAATATCTCAGTCACAAAAGGACAAATATTGCATGGTGCCACTTGTAAAATGGGCCTGACATCAGGATTGAGGGAAGGCAGAGAAGGAGGGGATAAATAATGTATACTGCATTGAAACAGATGAGGGAGAAAACTGTTTAAAAGGGATATGTGGTTAGGTATTGTCATGACAGGAATCCAGAATGAAGGCTGCATAGTGGAGTGGACTTGGGGGGAGGGATTGTAAAACAATGAAAGAATTTCTTTTCAAAGAGAAGAGTGTACTGGGGGAGCAGGGAGAAAAGTGCAACAGTGAATGAATGGAAATCCAAAGTCTCTAAAATTTTCATTAAAATTAATTAAAAAAGAAATTTGAAATATGTCCATGTTGTTAACGATGGAGAAACCCTGACAAGAGGAATTCCCAACGTGGCCAAGATTTTTCCTGACTGGATAAGACAAGAAAGCCGTGCTACAGATGGATAACCATGTAGTCACTAACCAAAGGCCTGGACATACAAACCCACCCAGAGGCATCCAAGGAGACAGGCCTGGACTGGCAGTCTGCTTCTGGAAGGTCACAGCCGTACGGCCCTGTGGTGAACAGCCCCACGCCATCTATCCAGTTCCAGGAAACTGGACTGGATTCAACAGTAACTGCTTCTGCCCACTCTCCCGTTTCCCTCCCGCTGTGCTTCTCATAATTCCTAGTTCCTCATACCTGTGTGGTGTAGGGATCACTGAGAGGCTTCCCTTCAGGTGGCAGTGTGCCGTCAGACTCCTCCTACCTTCTGTCCCCTTGCTGCCATCTGAATTCTAAAATTTAAAGGTGGCCTTGACCCATGGACTACTGTGATTTGTAGTTACTTAACACCTGCATGTTGTTGATAAATCAACAACATCAACCGGGAGGCTGGGCTCTATGAGGAGAAATGTGGGGTCAGGATTGGTGGACGATTTATCAACAATCTGCGTTATGCGGATGACACAACCCTGCTTG